CTATTTGTCATTCCGCTACTTTAACTTACAGTTTTATTAACGGGGGAAAAATGCATTTAAAATTAAGAGTGATGGTTTGAGAACGGCTGTCCGATCCGTTGAGAGATATCTCTGAAGCTGTGGTAGGTGACGTCAGAACTGGCAGGGAGCCAAACGGAAAATGCTCCACCCTTCAACCCAGATGTAAACTTCATTTTCTATATAGCATTCCAGTTAAATACGGGCGATGTAAACAAAGTCGCGTACGGAGAAGTGCTGTTACTGTTCCTTAACCTTGTCCCTCATCCGGTGTCGTTTCATAGAACTGTTGTTTCTGTTTTTAATACTAAAATAAATATATTATTCTTTGCAGCGATAACGATTTGGAGAGTCATGTTCGTATCTGTTACATAAATAATGTTAAATATTACAATTATAGACGCTGCTTAAGTTCTTTCTGTACATACGACTTGGGGTAAGTGCACATTTATTGGAACAGCGCGCTGTGGCCAACAACTCACGGACCAACGCTGAGGCGAACATTCTTTCGTGTGTTATGTGACACTCAGCTGCAGTTATCGTTGTGTCACAATTATCAAGTTTGGAATTCGTTCTTAATTGTTAAAAACAATTGTCTGTATATTATTTTAGTGAGTAGTCACAGATTATTTCAACAATAAATAAAGTACGAGAATGACGGAATCATATTTTTGCATACTCCTCAGTACAACAAAAGCAGAACACCACCGCCGATAAGGTTGATCATAAAAATAAAGAATAATAAGAAATCAGACCCCCCACCCCCCCTGCATCGTGCTCATTTTGTACATGACTAAATGTCCAAATGACATTTAACTGACAGCCTACAACACCAGGCATCATCAACAAAGGAACACACGACATCCGTTGACTCTTACCTTCCGGGTATTTACTTTCTCCTTACTAGCGCGTGAGTAATAACGCGGTGCTGGAGGGGGAGGGGGCGTAGCCACCACGACAGGTGGCGTCGCTTGAGCGTACTCCAGCGGCGGAGAAACAGGACGTCCCTGGCGGTCCATCCACGAATACGTCTGACGTACGATCCAGGGTCCCCCCTGGTGAGAGAGAGGGCGATCGGTTGCTGGCTGGAGATGCAGATTTGGACTTTTGACCGTCATGCTCAGCTTCCGACATGACTTGAGCATCTGAAACAGGAAGAGGATGTTCCCGTTACGGACAGGCACTAGCATGGAAAGCAAAGTTTTCTCTAAGCGACAGTCAATTTGAAATCCCATCGTCCAATGTGCTCTTCAGGAAGTTTAAAGCACCACACGCTGGGAAGCTTTTCCTAGAAAATCCTTCTTTTAGAACTATGTTTAGTTGGTCACAATCATTTTTGGCACTAGCTAAAGTAACCGTTTATTAACGTTTCTTTGTAAAGTAACTATTGAAATTACTAGTTATTGTTTAAAACATCCACAAGAAACTCTTATTTAATAACAGCAAAACAGTACAAAGCAGATAAATCTTCTACAAGAACCTAATTATAAAGAACAAAAATTACAATATTGAAATTATCTCCTAACTTGTACTACAAATGAAAGTTAACACACCGTTAAAAACACCGAATCATTCTTATCATTACACTCAGGTTCTTGAAACAAAATGTGAAACAGAAAATGTCTAAAACTTACCGCCTTTGGCTACTTCTGTTAATATCTTTTAAACACCAAATAGGACAATATGACAATATCTGTATGATTTGAGGTTTTCACAGCGGTGAGTATGAAGATTTTTGTCTTCTGGGTTGTTGCGCTGTGTAGTCTGGTCGATGTTTACCAACGTTTCAGAGGTCAAACTGCCTCCATCGCCCTGATGATGGAGGCAGTATGACCTCTGAAACGTTGGTTAACATCGACCATACTACACAGCGCAACGACCCAGAAGACAGAAATCTTCATACTCACCGCCCTGATGATGGAGGCAGTATGACCTCTGAAACGTTGGTTAACATCGACCATACTACACAGCGCAACGACCCAGAAGACAGAAATCTTCATACTCACCGCCCTGATGATGGAGGCAGTATGACCTCTGAAACGTTGGTTAACATCGACCATACTACACAGCGCAACGACCCAGAAGACAGAAATCTTCATACTCACCGCCCTGATGATGGAGGCAGTATGACCTCTGAAACGTTGGTTAACATCTACCAGACTACACGGCGCAACACCCCAGAAGACAGAAATCTTCAGTACAATATCTCTTTATGCATTAACACATATAGTTGCCTAAAGCTGAAAAAGCTGTACGTGTAGGCAGATCTATATATGATACCGCACGTGGTCAAGTAGTAACTGACAGAAAAAGTGAGAAATTAAAGTAAGGCAAACGACAGCAGAAAATTATTTTAGGTACAATTTCCTTCTGACACCCATAGTTTGTGCTCTGTTGCTTAATTGTTCCAATATCAACTTCAGGATTCAATGTACAATGAGATGTGAAAAATATTAAAATGTGGTGAGAGAAGAATGGTATATTTGAAAGAGTTATATCAGATTTTCGCTTATTACACTGAGAATTACGAAAGACTTCAACAACGAGAGATATGACAGCCGGATATCGAAGAGGACACACACTGCTTGGTACAAAACACGTTACCAATTTTAATTTGCTCAGTCTTAAGGCCACGTCAGCCGAACAAAATAAATCCAACAAGTATATTTACAAACACATCTTAATAATGCTGGTATTACATTTCTTCTTCTCTTTTGAATATTATCTGTACTTTTTTCATGTTTCCACTCTTACATTCTTAATAAAGCCACAACTTTTATTTCTTATTTTTTGATACATCATCAGTAATATCAAAAGTATAAATATGTATGACATTATTAAATAATCATTAAGTGTATATATATGTAGTAACTCCTCAACACGTTCCAAGAAAAGCGGCTTAAATAATTACCACAAACACCTTCAAGCAATGTTGATCGCCATTATGCAGCAGAAACTCAAAACTTAACATCAGTCATAAACAAAACTAGTCAGTGCATGGGATGCAGACTAAATAACAAAAAGTTGGTACTGTCACTTGGTAAATTTCATGCAAGTAATAAATAAACTTGAAGATATCCGTCTACTGGGTTGTTGCTCCGTGTAGCCTGGTAGAATTTTACCGACGTTTCA